CAAAACAGAAACAGAAAGAGGAATTGGGGAGAGAAAAGGAGGAGAGGGGACATTTAGGAATAAAGAAAAACATTTAGGAAATAAAAACTATAATGATTAAAAAAAATAGCAACCCAACAAAAATCCTGACCTTCAGCATTCATAAACTATGGGGGTGGGGTCCATAAAGTGATGGTCTTGATCACTGCAATTATTATCTAAATGATTGAACTCAATTCTAGCTCTATATCACCTCTTCCAGAGATCAGATTGATATCCGATGGCTCAAAGCACCAGCTTTTAATCACATGGTTGGTCTCTCCAGCATGACTCATCTTAAACTATATAAGAGTCTACCACGAATCACCTTATTAGAACAAGCTATTGGGGCCACTGTGAATAATGAAGACACTTCTGATACTTGGGGGAATGCCAAGACTTACCTCCTGCCTCCCAAGGACAAAGTCTAATCAAATTCTTTATTACAGTAGACCCACACAAGAGCACATTTGTTGAATTCAGAATTCCAGAGACAGAATACAACCTCAAAGTATTCAGAAACATGTGACACACAAAGGCTTGTAGAACAAATGACGTCAGTCTTCTCAGTACACCACTGGTTGCCAGGAAACAAGAAAGCAGCACCTGTACAATTCTCAGGGGGAAATCTAAAATTTTATACCAAGCCAAACTATCCACCAAAATTGAGGGTATGATAAACACCATTTCAGAAAGGCTGCATCTCAGAATCTTTTCTTTCCAAGTACACTTTCTCAGGCAGACATTGGATGACATGCTTCACCAGAGTGAGGAAGTAAATCAAGAAAGAGGAAGAAATGAGCCCTAGATGACAGGCCATCAACACAGGAGAGAAGCAGCGGGGATTTCCAGGATCAGAGAGAAGGGAAGTTCTAACCTGACAGGGGTAAAGCTGGCCCAGAAACCACTAAGATTCCAATAGGAAGACAAATTGTTCTCAGACAGTGATTCCAAGAAAAGAGAAATGTAACTGACAGATTGATAACCTGGTATGTTGTAGCTGGTGTGAATGGGAGGTGTGTGTTTCAATACCTAATAGATACATAGAAACAAAGGAAAAATAAAGCAATTCAATGCTGAAGAAATGTTTAAAAAGAAATGGTAAAGTTGGGCTGGTAACACACACACACACACTCACACACTCACAAAACACTGATCCAAGTGGGCAAGAAAGTTCAGTAGTTAACAGCACTCTGTGCAAACCTGACCACCTGAATTTGATACCCAGGAGTCCACAGTGGAAGAAGTAAACTGATCCTCAAAAGCTGTCCTTTGACCTGCACACTCAGAGGCAGTGGCAAACATGCTAGCACTCACACACATAGCCCCAACTGTACAAGCAATAGTAAGATTAAATTAAATTAAATATGGTCTTCAGGTCCTCAGGCTTGAAGGCCAATGCTTTTACACTCTGAGTTACCTAACCAGCCCTCAGTTTGTTTTTGTTTTTGTTTTTGTTTTTGTTTTTGTTTTTTGCTTTTTTGTTTTTTTGTTTTTTTTTGTTTGTTTGTTTTTGGTTTTGGTTTTGGTTTTGGTTTTTTGAGACAGGGTTTCTCTGTGGCTTTGGAGGCTGTCCTGGAACTAGCTCTTGTAACCAGGCTGGTCTTGAACTCACAAAGATCCACCTGCTTCTGCCTCCTGAGTGCTGGGACTAAAGGCATGCTCCACCACCGCCCCACCCAGCCCTCAGTTTTTAAGTAAACAAATAGTCAATACCCATGTTATTTTGACTATATGTCTATACTGCAGCTAAATGCATAAGTCAACACACACACACACACACACACACACACACACACACACACACACACACTTTCCCTAGGATTGCCATGAGTTCAAAGCCAGCCTGGGCTACAGAGTGAGACCCTGTCTCAAAACAAAACAAAAATAAGTAAGTAAACATTTGGGAGGTTGAGACAGAGAATTGACATGAGTTGCAGGCCAGCTTGGGTTAAATAAGACCCTTTTTCAAAACAAAAACAAAAAAATATCCCACCTAGGTGAATAAGTAATATTTTTAAAAAGGCAGACCATGCCTAGAAGCAAGAGGATCAGGAGTTCAACACAGTCTTTATTACATAGTGAGTTCAAAGGACAACCTGTGCTAAATGAGACTGTGTTTCAAAGATGTAAAAGCAAAGCATCAGGGCTGGTGAGATGGCTCAGTGGGTAAAGGCATCTACTGCCAAACCCAATAACCAGAGTTTAATCCCTGGAACCCACATGGTGGAAATCAAGTACTGATTCCCACAAGTTGTCTTCTGACTTCCACATCCCCCCTGCTTGTGTGTGTGTGTGTGTGTGTGTGTGTGTGTTTGCGCGCGCACGTGTCTATTTTAAAAAATGAATTAGAACAACAACAGCAAAATTGCAGATAATCTGGATGTCTCTAGGGTAGCATTTGTTACCTTGGTGAATGTATCACCATTCTGGGTCCAGACATTAACTCAAAAACCACAGTTATTAGTCCTAAAAGCAGCAGTGTCTCCTTGGAACAGACACACATTAACCAGACTCATGAGACTGATATATCAAATCAGATGCCAATTCATTAATTTATAAGGGGAAGTGGGGCTTTGGAACAGACTGGATTTCTCTGTTTGTTGTTGAGTGCATTCTCTCCCAGTGGGCGGATTTACATGGGGAGCAGAATGGCTTTCAGAGAATTGTTAGGTGATCCAAAGCATAGTGAGATCAGGGATGAACTGGGTGGCTTCAAAGCATGATGTCTCCATCTCCCCGGTCTCTGGACCAGCATTTTTGTAGCCAGAGACAATCTTAATGGATAATGTTGGTGATTACCGCGTGGCAACTCTCCTTGGTCTCTGGCTTTCTCTGCTGCTCACACCCTTTTAACTAGCATCAATATTTTCTTAGCTATATTAATCATTTTGGTCTGGGGATATGGCTCAGGGATAGAGCCTTTGCCCAGCCTATATCAAGCCCTAGGTTCAATTCCTACCCCTGAAGAAAAATCATTTTATTTTTGAGACAGGGTTTCAATATGTTGCCCAATGCCCAAGTGATCCTCCTGTGGTTAGCTTCCTAAGTAGCTATGATTACAGGTGTGTGCCATTGTGGCCTCATTACACTGAAATCTTTAATCAGGCAATAGTCTAGATTGTCCCAGCAAGGGAATTGACACATCCTGGTGTTACAGCATTAAAAGTTGTGTTGGGATTACAGAATAAACCACCATACCTAGCCCTATATAGTCAGTTCTAGGCCAGCCTGGGCAACAGAATGAGATTTTGTTAAAAAAAAAAAAAAAAAAAAAAAAAAAAAAGGAAGAAAGAAAGAAAGAAAAGAAAGAAAGAAAGAAAGAAAATGAATAACCAAGTAAGCTCATTTTTCCAAACATAGATCCCCAATCTTCTATGAATTCTGTGCAACAAATTCTCCCTATAAAGTTATTGTTCTGCTTATATTGGTTTCTGCCATTGAAACCAAAGCCCCTGGCCAATACTGCAACCACCTCAGACAATAGCAAGCCTGAGAATGAGACACCAAAAGGCAGTCTAATCCCTCTGCACCAGAGCTGCAATCAAACTTGGAGCCTTTTCTGGGCCTGGCCTCTTGGTACAGCCCAGAACAGGGCACACAGTCTCAATAAAGTCTGGTTGGCTAGGTCACTCGGAAGTCAATGCATAAATATTGCCAGGAGTCATTTTAGGTGCAGGGATTACAAAGCAACTGAGAGCCAATTACTGCTTTCAAGGATGTCACACACACACCTTAGACACAACAAACGGAAAACAGTCACACACACCCCTGCCTTCTCACCCAACTCATGGGTCATCTCACACCTCCTATCCCCCCCCCCAAAACAAAGGGAAGTGTTTGTACTTCTTTCTGGCTTTAGTCTGTGAGGATGGCAACAGTGTAGAGTTTGGACTAGTTAGACAAAAAGGGTGGGAGGAAGAGAAAGATGGCAGACGACCAGACACCAGACCTTGATGCCAGGTGGAAGACTCTAGATGTATTGGCTGCTATCCCAAGTTCCCTGGACCTAAATCTCAGGCTGTACAGTAAGTTTCTTCCTTCTTCAAAGGTGGCCTGTGTACGATAACACAAAGGAATTACATAGCCATTATCTTGGCCAGGGATTCCAGGCAAAGCTTCAAATACCTTGATCCCACTGCTAGGAAGTGCAAAACAGGGACAAGAATGAAGTTACCACACCCCTAGACCCTAATTTCTAGAACAGCACTAGGAGAGTGCTGTGTACAGGATGACTATTGGGAGTTAGGGCAGTGAAGGGGGGGGGTCAAGTGTCCTCTGTGACCTGGAGGGGGCGTCTCATTACCCTCCCCGGGGCTAAACCGGCGCTGGTGCTTTTTGCATCCTCGCATATCCCTTCCCAAGATGCTCTTTTTAGTAAACAAATTCTCCCAGGCGACCCTATGAGGTTATGACCATCCCTTCATCTCACAGGTGAAAACCGAGGCTCAAAGAGGTTTTGTGCTGCAGGCTTCATAATCCGGACTCTTTCCTTGCTATTCAGGTTAGAATCACAGAGCTAAGAAATGGGCGATAACAGTTGTTGAAGAAGTCCGGGTTCAGTGCCCAGGGCCGCCAGGTGGCGCGGTAGAGGTGTTGTGTGTCCTCCCCCCACCCCTACTCCACCTCTGTCAAGGGTGGGACGCACCTGAACCCTTTGGGGCGCGCCCTGGGAAGTAGGCTAGCAGGGTGGGGCGGGGAGCAGCTCTAGTCCCTGATTCTGAGTAGGCGGAGAGAGCGGCTTTAGTTAGGTCTCCGGGACCACAGGAGCCTCTCTGAAGAGTCACGCCTCCACCAGGAGACTGCAGGGCTGCATCAGCTCTTCTGCTCTGCGCTCCCCAGCGTGCAATTTATTAGGGGGGCTTCAAGGAATAGAATAGAAGCGACCAGTGCAGCCAGGAGGTGGGGCAGGCCCCACCTGTCGCCAGCGGAGAGAGGGGCGGGAGGGGGAGGGGCTTGTCTCCTAGGGACCACCCCCCCTCCTGGTCCCCAAGCCCCGGGCACGCGACGAGATATAAAGCAGTCGGGAAACAATGCGCCTGCAGATCGCGCTCCCGCGTCGATCCCGGGAGCGTCCTGGCTGCCGTGTGCGAGCGAGGCGGGGGGAGCGCGCGCGGGGGGCACGCTCGTGAGTGCGGGGCGCGCGCTCGGTAGCGCGCATGTGTGTGTGTGCGGGCTGCCGGGCTTCCCCGAGCCGGCGGGGAGCCGCTCCGCTCCAGGTGGCGGGCGGCGGGAACGAGGTGAGGCTGCGGGTGGCCCCGGCGCGGATCCCCGGGGGACGGGCGGGCTGCAAGGCTGCAGGCTGCCTTCGAGACAGCGCGCCCCCGCCCGGCCCTGCAGTGCCCCGGGAGCTGCGCTCCGGGCGGTGCTGGCAAAGTTTGCTTTGAACTCGCTCCCCGCAGCTTGGTCGGCCCTCTACGAGCTGCCCCTGGTGTGCTGACCCTAGGCCAGGCTTCCCGGGACCAGGGGCCAGGGACCAGGCGGCAAGCCGGTGGGCCTGGGGAGGGACTAGAGCCCTGCAGCCGGCTGCGGCGAGGGACTCGGAGCCGCCTCTTCCCCGCACCGCAATCATCAACGTCTCCCCTTCCCTCCCGCAGGGAGCGGACATGGACTTCGACTCGTACCAGCACTATTTCTACGACTATGACTGCGGAGAGGATTTCTACCGCTCCACGGCGCCCAGCGAGGACATCTGGAAGAAATTCGAGCTGGTGCCGTCGCCCCCCACGTCGCCGCCCTGGGGCTCCGGTCCCGGCGCCGGGGACCCAGCCTCTGGGATTAGTCCCGGAGAGCCTTGGCCCGGAGGGGGTATCGGGGACGAGGTGGAATCTCGAGGCCATTCGAAAGCTTGGGGCAGGAATTATGCTTCCATCATCCGCCGTGACTGCATGTGGAGCGGCTTCTCTGCCCGGGAACGACTGGAGAGAGTAGTGAGCGATCGACTCACCCCAGGCGCACCCCGAGGGAACCCGCCCAAAGCTCCCGCCATCCCGGACTGCACTCCCAGTCTGGAAGCCAGTAACCCTGCGCCCGCCACCCCGTGTCAGCTGGGTGAGCCCAAAACTCAGGCCTGCTCTGGGTCCGAGAGCCCCAGCGACTCCGGTAAGGACCACCCCGGGCTAGCTAAGAGGGAGGCACCCCATGGGTGGCCAGAGCTCTACAGCTGTCTGAGGTCAAGCATTGGGTCTTAAACCTTCCTATTCACCTCCCCATTTTCTGACTGGAGCTGTCGGTGTAGCCCCCAGCTGTGTCTGTCTGGCACGTGGGTGTGTTGGTAAACAGTTTGGAGAAGTAGGGAGGGAGCCAGCGTCCCTCTGATGATGATTGGAGCCCCAGGGGACAGGGGCGACGTGGTGAGGGTTGGCGCTTCGAGAGGACAATGCTAGGGTTGGACTGTAGGGGATTTCTGTCCTTGGGAGGTTGAAAGGGTTCCCTTAAGAGTCGCTCCTAGCGTGAAGCTTTTTTGTTGCTGCCTCTTTCCCTGGGAAACTCACACTTTCCTAAGGGAGAAAAGACCGAGGAACCTTTTGTGCAGAACCAAAGCTCTCATCCTCTCAAAAACATCCATCTCCTGCCTGCTTTACTTTTAAGTTGCTAATTCTCTAATCTTATCCTGGTCCCTCACCAGTGACCTGTGAGACTGGTGGGAGAAGACTAAACCCTCTTCCAAACGGATGGGGAAACCGAGGCTTAGAGACAGGAAATCAGAAGCATGAGCCCCAGCCTCCCGCTGTCTAGCCAGCTTCTTTTCCCTACCCTCTACCCCAGTCCTCTGTTATTTGGAGGGTCTTCCTCGAAGCTTATTTGAAAAAAGCTCCACCATGCCTGTTGCTTTGGATTTAGCTAGTGTCCAAGCTGCCTCCCAGTACATCTGTGGGCTTCAGCTGTTCGTCTACATTCAACAAATGTTCAGTGATTCCTACTTTGTCCCATCTCTGGGAGAAGAGCTGGTGTTGAGGTGATGGTCATAGTGCCCCAGGCCTGCCTCCATCCTGATGAAGGGCAGACTTCCTGAGATCAGACCACCCAGCCTCTTAGCCCCTACTCATGAGAAACCCTGGAGAGGGTGCTGTGGCAGGTGCAGACAGAGGCTTTGGACACATTCACTAAGAAAAGTGCACAGTGAAAAGTCACTGCAGCGATAAAGAATAACTTAATGGATATTTGAGAAGGAACTGGCTGTGGAAGGTGTTGTACATTTATGGAGGAAATGAGTACAAAATTAAAATCACCTTTTCTTCGATGCATTGTGTTAAAGTCATTTTTAACCTGCAACAAGTGCTTGTGTCTGTCTAACTGCTCAAATGGGAATCTTGAGATCAAGAGACTAATGAAGAGTCACCTTTAGCCAGGGGAGTTACAGCAGAAAGGTCATCATTTTGTAATTTTGGAGTTCTTTATTTGCAGTCTGGACCGTCATAAAAGAGACAGGGAGCAAGTCTGATGTGGGCCTCCATTTCTTGTTTTGAAAATGAGGAGGAATGAACTTAGTTGTCCAGCTTGAGGACATCCCTTATCTGGTAGAATCCGATACTGCTTTCTGCAGAGGAGAATGGTGTCTTAAATGATACCTTCCTTAGAGGCAGCCTTCTGTGTGGTGAGATTTAACAATGAAAATTAAAGCTTTGGGATGTACACAAACTTGAATTATTTTCTGACCTGCCCTTTAACCTGAACCTGTTTGTGGGCTCCCTGGTTCACTCTCTGGCCACATGGCCTAGAACAAAATGCAACAGATTGCAAACAATGAGGGGGTGGGGTGGGGAGTGTGACTGACAGCACAGATTAGCCAATAGGGGTTAGGGGCTTGGGAAAACAGCATTCCAAACACTGCTTAGCCAGCCAATCACAGGCTTTGAGGCCAGGGGGCTGAATGGTCAGGTTTTATTAATGGAGAAATAATGCGATTGTCCACACAATGGAAACCTTCCTGACAAAGGGGCTCAAGCGTCCTGATATGCAAAAGAGGCAGAAAACGGGAGCTCGTCTGTTGCTGGCCAGAATGCTTTAAAGGTTGCCTTCTGTGTTGAGGACTACAAAATGTGAGGAACAGGAAGTCTTCCCCTAATTGCCTGGCCAGGTTGGGTTCATCTCACAAACCTTCCAGCTAGGGAACAGTACGGATACTTCTTGGTGTCTCTGAGTTCCTGGCATGTTGGTCCTTTTATCTGGGTCACTCTGCTGTTCCTTTTCTGTCCCTGGTGCAGCTTGTTGGGAAATGGTCGTGTTTTTGTACCTTTGTGAAGTTCCTGAGGCTCTTGTGACCTGTGATTATAAATCCAACCCTCTTCTGGTCCAGAGGTGGGGGTGGGGCAGATGACCTATAAATGATGGATGGCTTTAGAAACCCATTGAACCCGGGAACAAAATGCTCCTGAGGGAAGCCCTTCCCCTCCCCTCTGTGGCTGAAGAGAACCCCTTGTAGCCCTCCTCTGCATCTTCGGCTGAAAGGATGGTAGAATAGAGAGGTTGGGGAATAATAGGATTTATAACTTGTGAAAAGTAACAATTCCCAAGCGCAGGCTGTGCTGGGCAGGAACAAAGGGCAACTCTGCCCACAGACCCCTCATTTACAATTCTGATGGGGCATGAAAGAGCCCGAATGGGGAAGATCTTTATAGCTAAACTTTGTCCCAGGCCAGGAGCTCTTTCCCTCCCCTCAGTGGGGGAGGAGGGAGCTCTGCAGACTGGGAGCTGTTAGCTTGGGTCTGCCTTTTGTTCTTATCCAAGCCTTCTTGTACAGAAGGAAACTGGAGACTATTTTCCTTGTTTATTTCCCCCTTCACTCTGCCATTTCCCCAGCACAAATGAATTGGTGGCCTCTCGTGATATCTACATCGTGGCATGCCACCTACTCTCACAAGCCAGGACATTGAGAACTGAGGCTGTAGGGTGTGTGTATACATGTTGCTCATGGGGTGTGTTTCTTCTCTTCATATCTCTTCTTGGACAGAAGGCGAAGAAATTGACGTGGTGACAGTGGAGAAGAGACGATCTCTGGATATCCGTAAGCCAGTGACCATCACAGTGCGAGCAGACCCTCTGGACCCCTGTATGAAACATTTCCACATCTCTATCCACCAACAACAGCATAACTATGCTGCCCGCTTTCCCCCAGAAAGTTGCTCTCAGGAGGAGGCTCCAGAGAGGGGTCCCCAGGAAGAGGCTACAGAGATAGAAGCTCCCAAGGAGAAACAGGAGGAGGAGGAAGAGGAAGAGATTGTAAGTCCCCCACTTGTAGAAAGCGAGGCTCCCCAGTCCTGCCACCCCAAACCTGTCAGTTCTGATACTGAGGACGTGACCAAGAGGAAGAACCATAACTTCTTGGAACGAAAAAGGAGGAATGACCTCCGTTCGCGGTTCCTGGCCCTGCGGGACCAGGTGCCCACCCTGGCCAGCTGTTCTAAGGCTCCCAAAGTCGTGATCCTAAGCAAAGCCTTAGAGTACTTGCAAGCTCTGGTGGGAGCTGAAAAGAAGATGGCTACAGAGAAACGGCAGCTCCGGTGTCGGCAGCAGCAACTGCAGAAAAGAATCGCGTACCTCAGTGGCTACTAACCGACCAAAAAGCCTGACTTCTTTCTCTCTCTCTCTCTAACACACACACACACACACACACACACACACACACACACACACACGTTTATTTTTTAACCTCTCTCTCCCTTTTAGTAATTTGCACATTTTGGTTACAGCCGGGCAGTCTGGACAGTAGATCCCAGAATGCATTGCAGCCAGTGCACACACAATAAGGGCTTGCATTCTTGGAAACTTCGAAACCTAGCTCTCCCTCTTCCCTGACTCATGAGAGTGCTGTCTTCTCTGGCGCCTTTGGCTTCTCAGCAGGCAGCTGACTGAGGAGACTTTGGGTCTGCCTCACTCACTAGCACCAGAGAAAAGGCTGACAGATGCTATGCAACAGGTGGTGGACGATGTCAGGAGCTGCAGCCTGCATGAAATCTCACACTGTGCTAGAGCTTTAGGCTAGGAAAGGATGCTGCTCCCACTGGTGTCTCTGGGGATGAAGCAAGGACAGCTGGGCCTGGATATTGTCCCAAGGCTCTGTTTTCCAGGAGACAAGTGAGCTGTCCTGGGTGAAGACAAGCTCACAGACTTGATCAGCATGGACCATTACCTCACTGTCAGACACTTTACAGTAGCTGAGGAGTGGAAACCTTTAGGATATTAGGCCACACCCCTCCCTCCACTCTCAATGCTATGACTTTGAAAACATTTAAAGGGCTTGGCCTGTAGAGTCTTTGTCTCAGAGCTCTCTGGGCCTTCTCAGAGAAGGACCTGTCTATCCTTACAAGAGACTTTTTTGTTTCTTTCTGCCTTTGTTATGCAATGGGCACCACAGCACCCTTCTATACAGATCAGAAATATTTCTCCAGGATGTAGGAAAATGGGTCATGGGGAAGGCTTGGCATCCTGGCTCATGAACATGTTCCTTGCCTGGGTGTTTTGTGCAGGGCCATTTGAAGCCCAGCTTGGAACCTTCTCTCAAGGCAGATATAAGGCACCCCAGAAGGAAGTGCCTAACCACTTCCTCTTTCCCAACTGCCACTCAAGTCTGTCCTTGACTTTGTCTAAATTCTGCTGGAACAGTGCAAACCTGTCCTTCTCAAGCAGCTTCAAGGAGTTTGCAGGCTCTACAGCCATTCTGGTCCTTTCCCCTTGAATCTGGGCCATATAAGTACTCTGAGGAGTGCTGCTTGGATTCATCGGGTGCCCCAGAAGATACACTTACTTCCCTGTGGGTTGTCACGGTGCCTCTAGGAGTACTGCTCAGCCAACTACCATAGGTTTTGTTCCAGCTGTGTTCAGCAGCACCAGATGGAATCTAGGTACGGTCCTCAATAGGGAAAGTCACCCAAGCTAGCAGCGGTCCTGTGGGCATCCTCAGGCGATCCTAAGCTTTGCCTGAAAGAAGAGTCAACCTTCTCAGAACTCTGCCGAGGAAAGCAGATTCTTTCCTGCTGGCCCTGGGTTTGGAAGTAGGAGAACAGACAGATAGTAAATGCTACCTGTGGCTCTCAAAAACCAACTACCACTTCCAAATTTGCTGACCATGATGGCTTCACATTGCTTCCTGGCCTCAGAGAGTTCTAGAGGAAGCTTTGGAAATAGCTATTCTGCTTGCTGGGGCAGGACTTTCAGGCACCAAGGGACTCCTGGGACTATGTTGGGAGGACAAGCGGGGAACAGGCTACTGAAGACTCATCTGAATGACTTGTATTTTATAAGCTGCTGCTGGGTTATGTATTGCGGGAGTCTTTTTTTTTTTTTTTTTTAATACTGTATTTTTGTATGCTTTTTGCAAAGTGGTGTTAACGGTTTTTGTATAAGAAAAAACAAAACCTCCTGTTGCAAGGGTCTGGTTTATTTTGAAAGGCAAGTTTACCTGAAATTTTGTATTTAGTTGTAATCATTAATTGCTTGATTTTAAACTGTTGCCTTCTGGGACATCTTCTAATAAAAGATTTCTCAAAAATGTCAGAGTGGGGTTAGCATATGCCATCTGAGTCCTCCTGAACCAGAGAAAACTATTTCAGAGTATCCACAAGCAATCTGGGTGTCTGCATTTTTCTACCATGTTGCTAACCTGGTCATTCCACTCTGGGTCCCTGAATGCCCTTCCAGACATGTCTAAACAATGTCCTGTCAGCTCAGGGCTCAGTGAAAACAAAACTACTCTTGTGAATTGTGGAGAGCTGAACTGTATTTCAAGGCTTGAAATCCCAGCTCTACTATTCCTGTGACCTTTTTTCTTTTTTCTTTTTTTTTTTTTTTTTTTTTTTGCCTTTCTGGGTTCATGATGCCTTATCTACGAGGTAAGTGGAAATATTTCACTTTGCAGGTTTCAAGTGAAGTTGTAGATTTTTGAACTTCTTTCTAAGTTATGTAGCTTTAGCCTTTAATATTGGAACTATTCTTATAAAGTTCTTGTTTTATTTGGTTTATCATCTTTTTGTGTAAGAGGGTTGTTAATTATTTTATTCTGAGATAGGATCTGTCTCTCTACATAATCCTGGCAGTCCTGCAACTCACTATGTAAACCAGGCTGGCCTGGAATTCTCAAATTAAACTCTCAGATTAAAGGCATGAGCCATCATGCCCACCTTGTTTTTGGTCTTTTGAGACCCGGTCTTCTTATATAGCTTTGGTAAGCCTATGTAGACTAGGCTGGCCTTGAACTCAGAGTCTACCTGCACATCTCAGGTACTGGTACTAAAGGTGTGTGACACCATACCCAGTCTCTTAAGACCATTTGTAGGATGGTTTTATCTATCTATCTATCTATCTATCTATCTATCTATCTATCTATCTATCTATCTTCTCGAGACAGGGTTACTCTATGTAGCCCTGGCTGTTCTGTACTTTTCTCTGTAGACCAAGCTGGCCTCAAACTCAGAGATCTGCCTGCATCTGCCTCCCGAGTGCTGGGATCAAAGGTGTGCACCACCACTGCCTGGTTGTAGGATGGTTTTAAAAGTAATTCTCTGGGAATTTCTGGTGTAGTGATTTGTCTTTGTTTTTCTCTCTCAGTTAATGAAAGGAAAATTAAGGCTCTCCAGAGTTCTCCCATTAATTTGATGCAAATAAAAGGTGAGAGAATTTGTCAGTGGTCCTTCCTCCTGGGGACACTGCTCATTACCTCACGGTGTATTAAGGCAATCCCATTTTGCCAGGGCTACAAATGAAGATGATGAAGTTCTACAAGGAAACAGAGCTAAGCAAAACCAGCCATCTAGTAAAGGAGTACATTAGGATTTGAGTGGAGGCCAGCCTATCCCTAGAGCCAGTGGTCTTTACCATTACATGGTTATAATCAGCTTGTTTGATTAAAATGGGCTGTGCTGAGAAGTCATCAGCAATTCTACCATAACTTGCTTCTTGGAACTGCCTGTTTGGGGCCACTGTGCCTGGCCCTTTCTGGGATGAAGTGCAACAAATGTTCCAGGACCAGTCTGCCATACCACAGCATCTGTGGACTGGGTTGGATAATTTTACTCCAAAGATGCCCTCTAGGAAAAGAAAACAGTTGCTGTTCAAAATGCCATGAACGTCATGGTGAGAGAAGGCTGCTTGAGCCTCCACTAATCCTACCTTTCAGTTGGTGCATTATTGCCTGCCTGGTGCCTGGATGCCTGCGGAGCCAGAATAGGGTCAAGCAACTTCTAGAAGCTTCTCTTGGGTGCTTGGGACATAGTTCAGTAGTAGAGCACCTGCCTGGCATATGCAAAACCCTGAGTTCAATCTCAGGCAGCATCAAAATTGAACAGAAAACCTCCTAGCTCCTCAGATCTCCAAGGTGAGCAATGGCAGCAATAGCTTCCATATTGTGTTTTCTTGCCCAAACTCATATAGTAAAATCAAGTTTGCAAGCCTGATCTTTTATCAAGTGAACTTCCCATCTGACTGCCTCTCCCTCTGGACTGATTGCCCCTCTGTTACACACCTAGAACCTAAGAAGATATTTCAGAAAACTTTTCAATTTTTAAAGATTTATTTATTGTTTTTATTTTGTGTGAATGGCTGTTTGCCTACATGTATGTCTGCACCACTTTCAGGTCTGGGCCCACAAAGGCCAGAAGAGGGCTTCGAACACCCTGAAACTGGAGTCACAGACAGTTGTGAGCAGCCATGTGTGGTGCTGGGAACTGAACATGGGTCCTCTGGAAAAAGAGCACCCAGCATCTTAACTACTGAGCCATCTATCTCTCTCTCCAAGCCTCGGGATGGTTTATGAGAGAGACTGGGATTACTGGAACATGTTCCTTAGGTTTCTTTTTTTTTTTTCTTCTTGTCCTTTTGTTGTTGTTGTTGTTGTTATTTTGTGATAGGATCTCATTCAGCCAAGGCTGGTCTTGAATTAACTATGTAGTCAAGAATGATCTTGAACTCCTGACCTCCCTGCCTCCACCTCTAGAATGTTGGGGTTACAGGAGTTTCTTAAAACTCCTAATTGCTTCTTTATTTGTTTTGGTGTATTTGATGGTGCTAGAAATGGAACCCAGGGTACATTCTAAGTATATATATGCTCTTCTGAGGCCATTTGTCAAGAAACTGATTTGTAGGATGACTATCCCCCCTCCTCCCCCCCATACACACAATCCTTGGGCATCCCTAGACTGATTAGAACCCAGGGAAAAGATGACAAATGCTAGCTTCTTTGCAGATCTTCATCTTTACAGTAACCTAGAGAGAAGGGGGGAGTGGTGGCCCCATTTCACAGAAAAGCAAACTGGACAATTCTGAGGCGGTAAATCATCTAAACTCACACACAGTACCAGCTGGATCAAGCTTCAGCTCCTGAGTCAGACTGAGAAAAGTCCAGGGAATAAAGCCATCTCCTGGGGGCAGGGTGGGGGCCTGGGTGGGGATGGGGTGGGGGGTGTCTCTGGAATGTGAAGTATTTTAAGCTCCTTCCTAGCTCATTTCTTCAAACTCCTACCTCTGTCTTTGCATCTTTGCCCGAGAATAACTCTGAGTTTATTCCTGGATTTCAGAGAGCAGTTCCTACAAATTAGGTTTGCCTCTGAAAGGTATACCTGAAGGACTGCACACCTGTCTTGGCATGTGCACACATCAAAGGGTCATGGAAAAGCTACACTCAGCATAGTAAACAGGTCATCCTCTTTTGACAACAATAACAGACTGAGGTGCATGCCATGCATGTGTAACTCCTGCTCCAGTTGGCAGTTATAAGGGAACTGAGACACCTTTTACTGTCTTATTTGATCTGAAGTGGTCAAAGGTACACCTGAGATCCGGGTGTTCCAGGATGTTCACTTTAGAGGAGGAAAGAGATCAGGATGTCTGTAATGATCTGAAAGGTGACAGGCATGCTGGAGGTGTTTCTTTCTAAGGATTAGATAGCCAGAGATCATTGTGATTGAATGACTAGTGAGGGGAGAGCAAAGTATCTAAATGTGTCAGCTTTATGTTCCCTTACCCATGGACATTGCTATTGCAAATTCAGTGGGCGGCCGTTTGTTAATGTCTGTTTATTTAGAACTACTCTGCCAAAGGGATCAACTATATTAATGTTACCATTCTCTTGGCAAGGAAATGTAAATATGTTCTTAAAGTCTCTAATCAGGTGTGCTATTAAACGATTAGGCTCAGAGCCAGGGGTCTACTGGGAGCCTGGCAAATACTGGATTGCCTTTAAACTTGAGGAAAACAGAATAGTTAAGGGGTCACTCAGACTCAACAGTTGGGTCTGCATTTTTCTAGCTGTATGATTCTTGGCAAGTTACCTTGCCTGGCTCCAATTTCCCCAACTATTAAAATTTTAAAAAGGTAAAAAATAATAGCACCTTCCTAATTGGGTTGTTGTGAACAACGGTAGCTATTCAGTAAATGATTGGTATTATTGAAACCATATTAACAAGCCAATTTAATGGGCTGGAAAGATAGCTCAGGAGGTTAAGGGCACTGGCTGCTTTTCCAGAGGACCTAGGTTGCATTCCCAGCACCTACATGACAGCTCAGAACTGTCAGTAACTCCAGTTCCAGGGAATCTCTTGGCTTCCAAAGGCACCAGGCATACACTCACATGGTGCACACACTACATTCAAGCAAAACACACATAGACATAAAATTTTTTTAAACAAGCCACAGTTAGACAACAGATTAGTCATGCTTGAAAGGTGATGGACAGAAGGGATGGGGA